ATTTTTCCCATACAAATCAATGTAAAATACGTTAATACTGAAAAAATACTAATTTTTCAAAAATGTTATTAACATTTATTCAAATAAAATTACTTATGAATTGTTAAGGAGTGTAACAACTTGGAATACAATTTAGATTTGAAACAAAAAACGTAAATAAAAATATGAATTTATGACAAATAATTAATCCTTTTTAACTAGAAAGTTGTTTTTTTTTTTTTTTTGTGTCACAGCATTAGCATTGAATAAATTTGTAGCACGAATAGCCACGCTCACACCTTGTTCTCGCTTTTCAAGGATTTTACGTTTCATGTTCAACAGTTATTTTTTCTCTTTTATGATTGTCTTCTTGTGGTTGTTTTTTTTTGTTTTTGTTTTCGAAGACATTTTAGCATGGGTTATTACACTTTGCACATTAAAAAATTACAAATACTGTCTGAATACAAAATTTGTAAAAACTGGTGATCACACACTAAAACAATACGCTAACAGACCGAGTGCTAAACACAGACTAACGCAATGGTTCTCAACCTTACTAGTGCCGCGACCCTTTAATACAGTTTCTCGTGTCTTGGCGACCCCCCAGCAACCTAATTATTTTCGTTGCTACTTCATAGCTGTAAGATTATGTGTTTTCAGATAGTTTAAGGCGACCCCTGGGAAAGGGCCGCGCTACCCCCCAAAGGGGTCACGACCCACAGATTGAGAACCGCTGGACCAATGCATCGGCTCGGAAGTCCCGGCTCACAAATGAATGTCAGGAAAAAGGGAATTCCCCTTTCTGCGTAACTCGTTATGGGAAATATCGCTCGTTAAGGGAGCAGCTTCTTCACATTTTTTTTTTTTTGCTCGTTATACGAATTACTCGTTATGAGAGGTGCTCATTATGAGAGGTTCCACTGTATTTTGCTTGTATCCATCCATCCATCCCTGTGGCACTACAGCTCATGTAGGGCTTTGGCCTGCCTCACCACTTCCTTCCACTCAGACCTAACTAATACCTTTCTTTTCCGTGCTTGGACTTTCAACTGCTGTAGATTATTTTCCACGTCATCTATCCACCGAAGCGTAGCTCTTCCTTTGAGCCTTTCTGCTTGCATGGTATAGTTTTTATTGCTTGTGTGATATGGCCTATATAGTTTGTATGGTATGGCTTACATTTCTTGTATGCATGGTATGACTTATATTGGTTTATAACATTTCTTATAACGCTTGTATGGTATAGCTAAATATTGCTTGCATGATATTACTTATACAGCTTATTTTGATTCTGTGGTATGGCTTATATTGCTTGAATGGAATGGCTTATTTTGCTTGGATGTTATGGCTTATTGTGCTTGAATGGTATGGCTTATTTTGCGTGAATGGCATGGCTTATTTTGCGTGAATGGCATGGCTTATTTTGCTTGTATGCACGGTATGGCTTGTTTTGCTTGAATGGCATGGCTTATATTCCTTGAATGGTATGGCTTATTTTGCTTGAATGGTATGCTTATATCAGCGATTCTCAACCTTCCTTATGCCACGACCCTTTAATCCTCATGTTGTGGCGACCCCCAACCACAAAATTATTTTCGTTGATACTTCATAAATGTAGAGTATATATGTTTTCCGATAGTCTTAGGCGACCCCTGGGAAAGGTTCGTTCGACCCCCAAAGGGGCCGCGACCCACAAGTTGAGAACCGCTGCTCTTCATAATATTATTAATTGTTCTTTAATAAAAATTGCATACTAAGTTATAACCGACTTTTCCAAAAACTAAACATGTTCATATTGATGGGAGTTAACTCCATTCAGAATGAATGCTAACGAACAATAAAATCTTCTTAGCTTTCTTTTTCTTTCCTGTGTTTATTACACAAACATGTACAAACGTGTACTTTCTATTTACTGTCTTATTTCTTCTTATTTTTGATTTGCAAATGTCTTCTTCCTTTAAATTATTGTGCATGCTCATCACCCTTGGCTGAACCTGAGAATAGCATCCAACCTGCTAAAGCACCAGTTTTAGTTCGGTCTTAAAGGTTTTATGCTCTTTACAGGTTTCACTGTAACTATTAAAATATGTATCTTGAAATACTTTATTTTGTTAGGAAGACATATTCCCGACTTTGAGCAAAGTGGACTATTTACCTCACACAACAATGTTTGTTTTAGATGCACTCGCCAATTGGTTCCCTAAATTACTCTTAGTTTTAAATTATTAGTAAATTTTTACACTTCTATTTCTCAGAACCCCACCCTACCTCAGCACATTACCCTACATCAGCACTCCACCCTACCGCAACACCCCACCGTACCTCAGCACCCCATTTTACCTCAGCACCCCAACGTACCTCACCACCCCATTCTACCACAGCACCCCAACCTACCTCACCACCCCAAACTACCACAGCACCCCAACCTACCTCACCACCCCAATCTACCACAGCACCCCATCTTACCTCACCACCCATTTTACCACAGCACCCCACCCTACCTCACCACCCCATTCTACGACAACACCCCACCCTACCTCAGCTCCCAACGCTACCTCACCACCCCATTCTACCACAGCACCCCATCCTACCTCACCACCCCATTCTACCACAACACCCACCCTACCTCAACTCCCCACCCTACCTCAGCTCCCCACGCTACCTCAACACCCCATTCTACCTCACCACCCCATCCTACCACACCACCCCCTCCTACCTCACCACCCCATTCTACCACAACACCCACCCTTCTTCAGCTCCCCACCCTACCTCAGCCCCCCACGCTACCTCACCACCCCATTCTACCACAGCACCCCATCCTACCTCACCACCCCATTCTACCACAGCACCCCACCCTACCTCAGCTCCCCACCTTACCTCAGCTCCTCATCCGACCCTACTTCTGCGCCCAACCCCCGACTTAGGACACCCCGTATTACATTCATCTTCAAAATATTTAAAACTATGGTTTTGTTGGACTATACGATAGCGTCCAGTTATTCGTTAGATTTGCTTGACTTCCCAAGCAGATTCCACCGTTATCTACCAACTTACAAAGCAATCATATAAAAATCTCACCAAGACAGAAATTGATTTGATGAGGTGTAATCGCGCACCAGACAGCACCTCTTTGCTACATTTTTTTAGCGTCACTTTTTCAAAATAAATACGAGCAAAGAGTAGATTGGAAGTACATTGACAAAGGAATCATTGAACTGCATTGTAGCATTACGATCAAACAAACCATTAAACTGGCCAAATCTGGGAAACTAGTGTGATTGTTGCTAAAAGACTTAACTATGGAGGATGAAGATTCAAGTGAAGGTAAACTTTAAACTATGATTTTCAATATTGTTTTAAAGGAGCTATTGTTGTATTATTGATTTTTTTTTAAACGATAACTTTCCATTATTGATCCAAACAAATTGCAAAATGTTGTCATTACAAGGCAGGGGTTATTTAAAAAAAATCACTATGCTGAAACAATTTGTTTAAAAAAAAAAAAAAAAACTATTTTTAAAAGTCGAACACTCTCTTTCAACCTAAGTAAACGATAATAACTTTCCATTATTGATCCAAAAAAATTGAAAAATGTTGTACTTACAAGGAAGGGGTTATTTAAAAAAAATCACTATGCTGAAAAAATTTGTTTAAAAAAAAAAAAAAAAAAACTATTTTTAAAAGTCGAACACTCTCTTTCAACCTAAGTAAACGATAAGGTTATTCTCAAGCATTAAAAAAAATGCCTGCAATATTGTTTCAACTACAGTAACAAAAGAAATGAAGACAATTGCCTGTTGAGTAACGCATTCAGTTTATACCATTAAAATAAGCAAACATCTCATTGGCATTGTACATGCGTACTGTCTGCTTTGTGGCCACGGTGTCTCAGCAACATTCAGACTATTCACACCAATAACTGTCACAAGTTTAAGAAACACTACTGATACTTATAAAGTATATATTAAAAAAAAAGAAACAACCTAACGTTTGAAAATATTATATAAATTAATACGATATTTAGATGTATAAAATAAACGCTGTTACTGTATTCTTGAATTGAAGCTAATTCGAAGGATGAACCTGAGCAAAGAAGAAAGAAATCGGGCCAGAAAAGCGATGAGGCTTCACGAAGATCTACCCGACAGGACGACACGAGCGAACAGGGTGAGCAAGCGAGGCTACAAGATATCGAGGCGTCGCTTGACGGAGAGATGTCAGTAGAAGGTAGCCAAGAAGGTAGCCAAGAGGGTAGCCAGCTCGCTGCAACAGATCAAGAGGGAGAAGGAGAGGCTGCGTCAACCGATGACCGAGACGCGCATATCGTGGAGCGGCCGTCTAATGAAGACGATCTTCCGGATCCTAAAGCCGATAGGCCACCAACGCCATCCCAGTCGCGACTGCTCCCGTCGAGAGCCGGAGATTCCTTATTGGAAACAGGGGCAGAGGGCACAAGTAAAATCATGTCCAGTATGTCCGTGGACACGGCAAACGAGGAGAAGGAAGACGAAGAGCCACCGGAGCAGATCCAATTTGAGTGGGCGGCAGAGCTCGATGAATACGATGAACCGGATGTTTACCCATCTGAGAAAGATTACAAATGGGTTGAAGAGCTCGTCGAGGCTTCGGATGAAGAAGAGCTCCCCGATGCAGACAAACCCATTGACGAGGCAGCGAAGAGTGAAGAGGCCGGCGGCGAGGAGGTGCCCAAAGCGGCGGAACCGCAAGAGGGCGATGTGTTGCAGTTGGACAAAAAGGAAGGCGAGTCGACGACAGCGGAGGAGACACAAGGCGAGGGCAAGGATGTTGACGTGGAGGAAGGCTTCGAGGCGGCCACTATTGAGGCGGAGCCAGAGCCGGAGCCAGAGCCGGAACCACCGAAAAAGAAATTCAAAAAAATACTGGTGAAAAAACTGGTCGAGAGACCTCCTAAAATACACTACGTGCCTGAGCAGGTCAGGGCTGATCACCTGAGCAGTGACCCTGATTTCTTTGTTCAGCCTCCTTTCAATTTGGTGGATTCTTTCGGCTATGACAGTCAACGCATGGCGAACCTTCATGTGCTTGATGAGAAGACTTTGGTGTACATGACCGGATATGTGCTGACGTTTCTGGATCACACGAACATGAACAAATTTTACTTATCATGTCTAGGTGGGTCTGGATTTGGGGCACTTGCTGTTCACCCCAGCAGAAGACTGTTTGCTGCCGCAGAGAAGGGCAAAAATCCAGTCATTGGTATTTGGTCATGGCCTAAACTCCAGTTGTTTAGACAACTACGAGAGGGTACTAACAAAGTGTACGCGTCTATTAACTTTAGTCCCAATGGAACTCTCCTGGCCTCTCAAGGCGGGGAACCAGATTATCTAATAACAGTCTGGAACTGGCTTGCGGAGATTCCAGTTTTACGAGTCAAGTCGCATGCGCAAGATGTCTTCAGGGTTACTTTCTCCAAAGAGCTCGCTGGAAGACTAACAACTTCCGGTTTATGCCACATAAAATTTTGGAAAATGGCCAACACATTTACCGGCTTAAAATTGAAAGGAGACATTGGACGATTCGGGAGAACTGAACTGTCTGACATCGAGGGCTACGTAGAGATGCCAGATGGGAAAGTCCTCAGTGGTAGCGAATGGGGGAACCTCTTGGTATGGGAAAACGGGCTCATCATAGCCGAGCTGTGCCTGAGGGTGGACTACCCTTGTCACGACGGCATAGTTCGGCAAGTCTTGTTGACAGATGGTGAGTTTTACACTACAGGTCAAGATGGCTGGGTAAAAACCTGGAACTTTGACGCCGTAGATACATCAGAAATAAACACAACAGAGGAAAGCATTAAAGTACCGATAAAAGTCATGGCGCAAGTACAAATTGCAGATGGTGCCGACATCTGGTCAATAGTCCCAAACGTACCTAACCCCTATTCCAATTCAGTGTTTTGGTTTGCTCAAGATGGAGCGGGAACTATATGGAAAGTGGATCTTAGCTTTTTGAATACTGCTAAAGATCCGGTTAAAATCTCAACCGCACACGGAGGACCAATCGTGGCATGCCAGACGTGCTCTACCAACTATCTGTTTGCGACTCTGGGACACGATGGTCAGATCAGGGTCTACGACTATGTTTCAAAAGAGTTGTTGGCTCATCGCAAATTCAGTGCCCCGGGGTCTTCCTTACTCTGGCCATCGCCATTGCTCGACGAAACTGGGATGACCATTTTGGCAGGATTTACCGACGGCACCTTCCGTGTTTTGGCTTTGTCGGGCACCCCGAACAAGCACCTGCAAATGTCGGTCACACTTTTAAACGTCAAGAAACCACACAACAGAAAAATCACCAGCATGGCTTTGGACAGTGACGGACAATATTTTGTCACCGGTGGAGAAGATGGCACGATATTTTTTTTCGACGCGAAGCAAAACTTCCTGCCGATGGTTTTTGTTGCCATGCCAGAATATAGAGCCGTTAGCAGCGTCACCTGGTTTCATAAAAATCAAGAGTCCAATGACCGGGCAGTTTTAGTCGTTCTCAGCGGGGCTGTCCTGCAGGAGGTCATTATGCCCGAATGGGATCAAATCCACAACGAGACATCGTATCATTTCATGGAATCAAAGATGCCAAGGCGTTACGCTTTCCACAGCATCAAGTCTCAACTACGTCACAATGAAGAGCTGGAACGAGAGAGGCAAGAGGAGGAAGCCAGGCAGGCGGCTCTTGAGGAGGAAAACAGGATAAAAATTGCAGATGGCCTTGAGTCTCAGTCCGAACAAGATTTGAGATTACTCCAGGAGGCGGAGGAGATGGAGAGATTTAGGCTCGAAGAGAAACCCAAGCCCAAATGGCAACCGTACTACCCTCCCGAAACTAGTCCCATTGTGTGTATGATCCCAGGACTCAGAGATGAGGAAATGTATATATCAATGGGGAAATATGATGCCGGCTATATTTATCACGTGAAAATTTCTAACAAACACAAAGACGAGATCATCCCGGAAGAACCGATTTCTGCTTTTGCGGTGGAAGACTCTGACGACGTGCCCATCACCAGCTACGCCATGTCTAATGATGGTGAGTACATTATCTTTGGATTTGAAGATGGCAGAATTCGGTACCAGAGGTACATCTACTCGTACGACCTTGAAAATTTGGGCCCTCATTGGACAAAAGGCATCCACGACTGTGTGAGGGGGTCCATCACGTCCCTGGCAATAGACATGACCGGATCCTTTATGGTGACGTGCGGAAAAGACGGCAACTGCTTCCTTCTCAGTTTCCTGGAACCCGAAGCTCTGGCGGACGTTATTCAAGGAATGGAAAGGTTTGAGGTACCGGAAGTCGAGGTGCCAAGTGATGTGCAGGACATTACGGAGAAAGATGCGTACACGCTGGAAACGTTTAAAAACATGGAGAAGGAAATGGCGCTCCTAGCCGCGGCAAAGAGAAACAAAGCTGCGAAAAAAGAAGAAATCGTTCGACTTCGATTGCTCTATTGTGAGATATTAAAGAAAAACAATGAGCTCCCAGAAGAGTCTCGCCTCACCAAAGTGGAAGTTTGCATTGCGTCCGATAATCAAGCCCGCAAGGAGAAAGAACTCGCCGAGTCGATGAAGCAGCTCGAGCTGGAGATGGCGTGGGACACGGAGAGGAGCACGATCGCCTTGAACAAACTTAAGTCTGCGTACAAGGACACGTTGGATGGGGACTTGTTTATGCTGAAAGCCTTCAACTCCGACCTCTGCGTCTCTTCCTTCCGCTTGCCGAAGATGCCCCCGTTCTACCTGGACGCTAAAGATAAAGTGGAGCACCAGACAACACCACGCGCTATAGAGTCTGACATCCTCGACGACGACCTCTCGTCCCACACCAGCTCCTTCTTGCAGCTTGAGCCCCGACCGAAGCGAAAAGTCGGAATGGATAAATTCATCCACCAAAGACTGGTTCGTCTGTGGGAAAGAAAGCAGAGGAAGGTTCACCGCCAGCAAGTGTGGAAAGAATTCATGGCCACCGAGCCGAAGGGGAAAGAGTTGAGGGAGGAGGATAAAGCCATAGAAAAGGCCATGGCGAATATGGGCGACATGAAGTTGAAAATGGCCGTTGACTATAAGGTTCCCGAGGACAAGAAGTTAACGGAGCATCGAGCACGCAAGAAGCTGGTCTATCTGGAGGAAATTATTTTTAGTATTAAAAAACAGTTCAACCTGAAAATGCTGACACTAAGGGAACAAAAAGTCCAGTATGTGAAGAGAATGAACGAGTACAGCCGCCTGATTGAGGCGAATCAAGCTGTCCTGCCTGCAGGGGAGATCATCAAGGTGCCGCACGTCGAGCCAATGGCCTTGGCTGAAAATCCGCATTCCTACATGGATTACAGTGCAGACGACATAAGGATCTACAAGAAACAAATTGAAGAGAAAATGAAAGCTGCCGCAGCGCAGGCTGTCACCAAACAGCCGAAAAAAGCCGAAGTTCCGGTCAAGAGAAAACAGTTTCAAACACAAAACATTAACCGCAGGGGCTCGAGCTCGACCAAAGTGGGGATAAAGGAACGCACTGAAGAATTTATAACCAGGACAGAAGAAGGCCATGATCTTGGTAATTTTGTGGAGGAAATAGTACGTGACCCGACTCCCTTGGAGTTGCTCATCACGAAGATCGCCATTGAGAAGGCGAGGTTCTATCAACGCTATTATTCACAGCTGATAGAAGTTGAGAAATTCGCCTTTGATGTTAAATTAAAAATTATGAGGCATAGAAAATTGAGGCTTGAATATCTTCTAAAAATAGCTGATGAAAGGATGGTACTTCTGACCGATGAGTTCATCCTGGCTCAGCGGAGCGAAGCCATGGAGGCGTCCATCGAACAGAAGATAGTGGAATCGAACAAAGAGAAGAAAGAATGCAGCAGCCATGTGAAAGTCCTCGCGAAAAAGCAGGACATCATCAAAAAGGACATTGATGCTTGTGCAAAGCAAAAAGCTGCCCTGCTTGCAGAAGTTACGCAGATCGCCATCAAAGCTCCCGGGTTTGAGAAGTATCTGACACGAGTTTTCAATAAAAAACTCGCCAAGCCGGCGAAAGCCCCGACCGTCGACGTATCATCGGATCCTTCCCTGGCCGAAAGCGACGAGGAAAGTGAATCCAGCAGCGATATGGACATAGAAGACGACGACGAGGATGACGACGGCCTGGACGTGGACCTCCCGCCGTCGGAGCTCAACAAGGACGTTTACGATCAGGTGGTTGAAGTTCGCCTGAAGCGATTCGCCGTCGACGAAACGGAGGCTGCCGCGCGCGAGAGCTACGACGAGGTCACGGCCAGTATCAACACGCTGAAGACAAGAATCAAAGAAGCCGACAAGAGCCTGGACTCCGGGAAGAGAGACTTGGAGGCGTTCATCAAGGAGAAGCAGTCGAAACAGAACAATTTAGACTGCGCCGTGTCCCTCAAACTCAACCAAATTTTCGTCCTGGACGCGGATCTCAAGGAAGCCCTCTGCACCGGCCACGACACCATCCAACAGCTGAGGAATCGAATACCAGAGCTGCGGAGAGAGATGACGTTGCAGAAGAGGAAAGGACAGGAAATCAAGAAGCAACATTTTCAACTGCAGCAAGAAAAGCACAAATTCCTTTTGAGGTAAACATGCTTGAAGATGGTGGACGGACACATAGAAGCTAGAGTAATATATTTTAAAAAAAAAAAATAATTTTGTAAATACATTTCTGTTAAGAAAGAAAAAGGAAACAATTCTCATGTCTCCATATTTTACTGGACCACCTGCTGACTACTGTTGGCGCTCGGCTAAATTCTCATTCCTAACCCCATCGTATTCATTTTATCACTCTTGAAGCACTCAACTGAATGCAATCTGTCAACTTTGACCTCTGTTTAAGAGAGATATTTCCAAACGGCAAAGCCTATTCGTTTCAGGACAATGAAGCCTCCTCTCATTGGTCATGCCTCTCTTGTCAAACATAAAAATATCTTGTTCCACTAGTTATTTACTTTACAAGCCTTGAGCACAGTCTCTCCAATGTCATTCTTTATTCTTGACACGTGATTGCTTCCAATGTGTATGTATTTGTTAATCACCATAATTGTTGTATCTCAATCTTTTAAATATGTAACTGTCCTTTATTTTAGTACTTCTTTTACCCTAGTTAATCTTCTCCATTCGGACATTCGTTTGTTACATCCAAATTTTTTTCCTCGTCTTGTTGTACCACCGAAGAAGGCGTTTAGCCGAAACGTCCTTTCATTTGCCTCTTTTTTTTTTTTTTCAAGCGTAAACATATTTTGTTCAACTATTTATTGACCTACTTTATTCATCAGAAGTTCGGTTTGCCTTTAAACATAGCCCTTAAAATCCTCCATACCATTTTCTTTTTTCACAAAAAGATATTTAANTTGGTCAAGATCCATCAATCCATGTAAAAGCCTTTGTGGAACAAACAGACAAACACATTGATAAACCCACAAATTTTCACTTATATATATATATGATATGATATGATATATGATATGATAAATAAGAATAACAAAGAAAAACATTTCTGTGATTTTTGTTCCTGTGACTTTTCCCCCCCCCCCAACCACTGTTATCTATTTCCACCTGTGTCCATTCACCAGACTTGAAGTGATGAAGAAACGCTGCGACACCGAAATGTTGAAGAAGTTCGGAGCAGTGACGGCCATTGAAGATTTAGAAAACTTCACCATAGACCCGGACATTAAGGTCCTACAGAAAGACCTGGAAAAAGAAGAGGTTCGTTATTTCAAGACAACTTTATGGATTGAAATTATGTTGTTGTTTTTTTCCAGTGAAATATTACCGTGACACAGCTCAATAGACATCACTGCGTCCCTAATTGTACAATCCTAATTCTACAATCCGAATTGTACAGTTTTAATTTAGTGGGTTTTTGTAAACAAAAATATTATAAAAAATATTTAAACACTTTAAAAAAAAAAACTCGATTAAAAAAAATAAAATAAATTCTATTCATTTATTGTTGGAACGTATTACAAAAAAATTAGCCTTACGGTAGTTGAAAACTACACAAACTCCAGATATATGGGATTCAAGGCACCACTAAAACATGGATCTCTAGCTTCCTCAGCCACCGACGCCAAGCAGTAGTGGTGGGCGGTACAAGCTCCTCCTTTGTCAATGTGAAGTCAGGGGTCCCCCAGGGATCAGTCCTGGGCCCCTGTTTGTTCCTAGCATACATTAATGACCTACCGGAGAAACTGACATCACAGGCAAGACTGTTTGCAGATGACACAGCAGTGTATAGGACGATCGCCAACAGATCTGACCAGGACCAGCTACAACAGGATCTCAATCTGTTAGCTGAGTGGGAGATGAGCTGGGACATGGAATTTCA